TGAAAATGGTTTTAAAAAGCACATGGTGCCATAGTTTCATCACTTTAGAGTGTCTCAATGGCCGTCATTTTGCAGTAAAGGACCTGTCATAGTTTAATGAGTGGGAAGATGACATGAAGCGGCACGAGGTTAGTTGCACTGAAAACAGATGAGTGCACACATGTACATACAGCTCCTGATCGGGGCGAATTTCGCAGGGTTTTGTCCACAGAATGATAAGAGCATATGTTTTAACATATTATTTTATTATTTCACACTCAGTATTTTAACTTCAGCGCTGCAAGCCAAGCATACAGCGCCGGACATGGACAGATTTTCTGGAACGCAAAACAAGTACTTTAAAGGAATTGCTTTAGCTTCTTGCTGTTACTGTGGCAGCCAACAACAGCACAGCTTAACCCCACGCACATTTTTATATTTAGTTATATTGAAAAAGTTTCAATTCAGTCAATCTTTTTTACCCCATTTTAACATGGGTTTCTATGAAAACCGGCCATAGCTGTCGGGCAAGATGGCGGACAGCAGCGGCGACACATAATATCCGCGTTCTGATTGGTCAATTCAGCAGCATTGGGGGAAGTCGTGGCCTAATGGATAGAGATTTGGACTTGTAATCCAAAGGTCACGGGTTCATGTCTCAGGTCCGGCAGGGATTGCAGGTGGGAGGTGGGGATGTGTGTGTGTGTGTGTGTGTGTGAGTACTTGGATGGGAAGACAAAAACCCATATTTAAAACACCTTTTAGGGGCATTAAACTGCATAGGCTACGGTCACATAGTCAGTCATCATCCTGCATTATGTTTGTCATTAAGCAACTGCATGCGATGTAAAATAATGTACAAGTCGGTGCAGGAGGCCTTCTGGGTTTGCATGTTCTGCTTGTGTCTATGTGGGTTTTTCCCACAACCCAAAGACATGCATCATAGGTGAATTAGAGACAATAAAAATTGACAGCATGAATGTCTATGTGTGAGCCCTTTGATGAACTGGCTGTCAGTCCAGGGTCTTTCCCCTGCCTGTGGCCTAAGATGCTGGGATATTTTCCAGGCTATGGAGTATACTGTATTTAATAACGCTGTCTCAAATTCATCTGCTGAGGTATGTAGCGATAACAACATAAAGACATTAAAAAAATGAATAAAAAGTAAAAGTAAGTTTTACAGGAAACCGGTCATCAGTAAGGAGATTTATATAGCAGAATAAAGTAATTCCTTAGTGTATTATGTGTCAGCATTCTTACAGTTGCATTCTGAATTCATTGTTGTAATTGTTTAAAGTGCCCCTATTATGGGTTATGAAAGGTTCATACAGTATTTTGGTTTTGGGAGTCCCCAACAACAGGTTGACATGCATGCAAGGTCAAAAAACACTTCCATTGTCTTATAATATGCATTTATTTTCCACATGGAGTGCAAGTATGTGGGAAACACTGTTGCTGTAGCAGTCTTCAGTAAAATGACAGGGACACAACACAAGGTTGGGGCTATACAGCTGTGGTATTGCTGTAAAAATGAACGTTAACCATTTATTCTTCACAGCCTCATCCTTTGGCAGTAAAAAAAAAAAAAAACGGATTTACCCTCACAATACAGCGCAAACCGTCTCCTCAACATGATGCTATCCACAGGAATCCGCTACGGTGTTTGAGGGAGGGGGAATCAAGTTTTCCCAGGTCTGCGTGCGCAACAAGTGGGCGGTCAATATGCTAATGTTTTGACCGGCTTGGGATTCATTTTAAAAACAACTTGTTTAAATGATTCTGAGTCGACTCTTTCTTTTGAGAGACAATAACTTTATACACGGTGCACTTTCAGATTTAAAACTTTGCAGGATATTTTCATTCACTTAGAGCTTTGTTACACACTGCATGAAAGGTAATTTTCAAAAATCCATAATATAGGCACTTTAATAGTGCCCTTTGGCTAGCCAGTCACAACACTGCTTTAGTTGTTCAGATGAACATAAATTAATTTCATAACCCGCCACTAAATGTCTATCAGGCCAGATATATCAGGCCTCTCTGTGTGAGCATGTACAATTCCTTACAGTTTATGAGCAGTAGTTCAGTAATACAGTGTGTTTCTCCAGGTGGACAGACAGTGGATGGAATATCAGTCCAGGAGCTGAAAATACAGAAGAAACTGTCTAGTGGTGCTCTTGTCGCAAATCAGTCTTTACTGGTTCTACCCAGCCGTGTACCATGTGAGGTGAGACACACAAAAGTGTATTTTTTATAATGTGCCAATATGCCAATTCTATATAAACTTTTTTTTTTGTTCTGTTACTTTAAAGTATAGTTCACCCAAAAATAAAAATTTTATCATCACGTACTCACCCTCATGTCATTCCAAACTCATAAGACTTTCGTTCATCTATGAAACACACATTAAGATTTTTTAATGAAACCTGAAAGATTTCTATCACCCCACCTAAAGCCGATGCAGCCTAAACTTACTTGCAAACAAAACCTAAATTAAATCATACAAAACGATAAAAAACCGCTGAATTTATATGGTTTACTTTTTAACTGGTTTCTTTATAAACTTTGTCATAAATTTCCTTATGAACTTTTTGAAGCTTAAAAGGTGGAATGGATTTCAAGGAACAGGAATCTCCCAGGTTTCATTAAAAATATCTCCAAGGGCGTATAGGTTTGCTTTTGACATTGGTGGAGACATGGTAGCACTTTATTTTACAGTACGTGTACTTCCCTGGTACATACATGGCAAATATCTTGTACCTACAGGTAATTGAGTGGTTATACAAGGTACTTACCTGAAGTGTACATGGTAACAAATAAGAAACACAGCTGTACTTAACAGTCGTGCATGCATGGTAATTTGTTTGTACATACAGACACGTGTGGGTAATAACGGTCACTTACAGGTAGTGCCCATACATGGTAACTAATTAGATACTTTACTGTACTCACTAATGTATATACATGGTAAATATGTAGTACTTACGGACAAGTGGGTACAAAGAGGCACATCCTTACAGTATCCGTATATGGTAACTAATAAGACACATTACTGTACATACTAATGATATGTACATGGTAAATGTGTAGCACCTATGGAAAAATGTGGTATTATGTGGTAACAAACAAGACACATACTGTACTTGGTATATACGGTATGCTTGGTATGTCCTAACCTTACCTAATAAAAAGAGGACTATTTTTCAATTGCTTGTGTAGAACTGTTAATGCTAAATTGCTCTCCACAACAGTGCTTACAAAGTTTGAAGAACTGGTAATTCCTGTGTAATGTTTATGTAAAATGGTGCACTTTATTTTACAGTCCTATTTCCATATACTTCCATGTGTTCATAAATGATTAATAAGTGATTTGTTAATATTTTTATCTATGTTTTGTAGACTGAGTTATAAATCATTTGCAAGTGATTAGATGATGATTAACTAATCATTTACAAAACATGACTATACATTCACAAATGATTAAGTAATATGCTAATAATTTACCAATCTGTCAGGTTATCTTAAAAAATAGCATATCATGAAATAATCAAACATAGGAGGTGGGGATGTGTGTGTGTGTGTGTGTGTGTGAGTACTTGGATGGGAAGACAAAAACCCATATTTAAAACACCTTTTAGGGGCATTAAACTGCATAGGCTACGGTCACATAGTCAGTCATCATCCTGCATTATGTTTGTCATTAAGCAACTGCATGCGATGTAAAATAATGTACAAGTCGGTGCAGGAGGCCTTCTGGGTTTGCATGTTCTGCTTGTGTCTATGTGGGTTTTTCCCACAACCCAAAGACATGCATCATAGGTGAATTAGAGACAATAAAAATTGACAGCATGAATGTCTATGTGTGAGCCCTTTGATGAACTGGCTGTCAGTCCAGGGTCTTTCCCCTGCCTGTGGCCTAAGATGCTGGGATATTTTCCAGGCTATGGAGTATACTGTATTTAATAACGCTGTCTCAAATTCATCTGCTGAGGTATGTAGCGATAACAACATAAAGACATTAAAAAAATGAATAAAAAGTAAAAGTAAGTTTTACAGGAAACCGGTCATCAGTAAGGAGATTTATATAGCAGAATAAAGTAATTCCTTAGTGTATTATGTGTCAGCATTCTTACAGTTGCATTCTGAATTCATTGTTGTAATTGTTTAAAGTGCCCCTATTATGGGTTATGAAAGGTTCATACAGTATTTTGGTTTTGGGAGTCCCCAACAACAGGTTGACATGCATGCAAGGTCAAAAAACACTTCCATTGTCTTATAATATGCATTTATTTTCCACATGGAGTGCAAGTATGTGGGAAACACTGTTGCTGTAGCAGTCTTCAGTAAAATGACAGGGACACAACACAAGGTTGGGGCTATACAGCTGTGGTATTGCTGTAAAAATGAACGTTAACCATTTATTCTTCACAGCCTCATCCTTTGGCAGTAAAAAAAAAAAAAAACGGATTTACCCTCACAATACAGCGCAAACCGTCTCCTCAACATGATGCTATCCACAGGAATCCGCTACGGTGTTTGAGGGAGGGGGAATCAAGTTTTCCCAGGTCTGCGTGCGCAACAAGTGGGCGGTCAATATGCTAATGTTTTGACCGGCTTGGGATTCATTTTAAAAACAACTTGTTTAAATGATTCTGAGTCGACTCTTTCTTTTGAGAGACAATAACTTTATACACGGTGCACTTTCAGATTTAAAACTTTGCAGGATATTTTCATTCACTTAGAGCTTTGTTACACACTGCATGAAAGGTAATTTTCAAAAATCCATAATATAGGCACTTTAATAGTGCCCTTTGGCTAGCCAGTCACAACACTGCTTTAGTTGTTCAGATGAACATAAATTAATTTCATAACCCGCCACTAAATGTCTATCAGGCCAGATATATCAGGCCTCTCTGTGTGAGCATGTACAATTCCTTACAGTTTATGAGCAGTAGTTCAGTAATACAGTGTGTTTCTCCAGGTGGACAGACAGTGGATGGAATATCAGTCCAGGAGCTGAAAATACAGAAGAAACTGTCTAGTGGTGCTCTTGTCGCAAATCAGTCTTTACTGGTTCTACCCAGCCGTGTACCATGTGAGGTGAGACACACAAAAGTGTATTTTTTATAATGTGCCAATATGCCAATTCTATATAAACTTTTTTTTTTGTTCTGTTACTTTAAAGTATAGTTCACCCAAAAATAAAAATTTTATCATCACGTACTCACCCTCATGTCATTCCAAACTCATAAGACTTTCGTTCATCTATGAAACACACATTAAGATTTTTTAATGAAACCTGAAAGATTTCTATCACCCCACCTAAAGCCGATGCAGCCTAAACTTACTTGCAAACAAAACCTAAATTAAATCATACAAAACGATAAAAAACCGCTGAATTTATATGGTTTACTTTTTAACTGGTTTCTTTATAAACTTTGTCATAAATTTCCTTATGAACTTTTTGAAGCTTAAAAGGTGGAATGGATTTCAAGGAACAGGAATCTCCCAGGTTTCATTAAAAATATCTCCAAGGGCGTATAGGTTTGCTTTTGACATTGGTGGAGACATGGTAGCACTTTATTTTACAGTACGTGTACTTCCCTGGTACATACATGGCAAATATCTTGTACCTACAGGTAATTGAGTGGTTATACAAGGTACTTACCTGAAGTGTACATGGTAACAAATAAGAAACACAGCTGTACTTAACAGTCGTGCATGCATGGTAATTTGTTTGTACATACAGACACGTGTGGGTAATAACGGTCACTTACAGGTAGATGGTAACTATGGTAACTAATTAGATACTTTACTGTACTCACTAATGTATATACATGGTAAATATGTAGTCAAGTGGGTAAAGTGGGTACAAAGAGGCACATCCTTACAGTATCCGTATATGGTAACTAATAAGACACATTACT